AGAAACCTTTGGCTGGGGGTTAATATGGGGGCTTTAAAAACATGATCCATGGCCCCTCTCTCTCTCCCCGGGCCTGTCAATTCATTATGGCTCACCAGAGGAACAGCTCTGTCAGCAGATAGCCCAGGTTCACGTTCAGGAGGGAACAATGTTGCAAAACCTTTTACATCTGAAAACAAAAATCTGTGTTCTTACTGGAAGAAGTTAAGCTGTGTACATCCCTGTTTCACTCCATTTCAAACCGTGTACTCCCTACCGAATACGATCTGTGAACTCAGTATGTAGCCCTCAGAGCTACTCAATCAACCCTCACTGGCAGTTCTCAGAACAGACAAAATCCAAAACGAACGAGGGGCACCAATGCCCTTCACACGTCTCACGACTGCTGATGGGTTGTTTTTCTGAACATACAGTGGCTTGTGAAAGTATTCACCCCCCTTGGCATTTTTCCTATTTTGTTGCCTTACAACCTGGAATTAAAATGGATTTTGGGGGGGGGTTGCATCATTTGATTTACACAACATGCCTACCACTTTGAAGATGCAAAATATTTTTTCTTGTGAAACAAACAAATAACAGAACTTGAGCGTGCATAACTATTCACCCCCCCCCCCCCCCCCAAAGTCAATACTTTGTAGAGCCACCTTCTGCAGCAATTACAGCTGCAAGTCTCTTGGGGTATGTCTCTATAAGCTTGGCACATCTAGCCACTGGGATTTCTGCCCATTCTTCAAGGCAAAACTGCTCCAGCTCCTTCAAGTTGGATGGGTTCCGCTGGTGTACAGCAATCTTTAAGTCATACCACAGATTCTCAATTGGATTGAGGTTTGGGCTTTGACTAGGCCATTCCAAGACATTTAAATGTTTCCCCTTAAACCACTCGAGTGTTGCTTTAGCAGTATGCTTAGGGTCATTGTCATGCTGGAAGGTGAACCTCCGTCCCAGTCTCAAATCTCTGGAAGACTGAAACAGGTTTCCCTCAAGAATTTCCCTGTATTTAGCGCCATCCATCATTCCTTCAATTCTGACCAGTTTCCCAGTCCCTGCTGATGAAAAACATCCCCACAGCATGATGCTGCCACCACCATGCTTCACTGTGGGGATGGTGTTCCGCGGGGTGATGAGAGGTGTTGGGTTTGCACCAGACATAGCGTTTTCCTTGATGGCCAAAAAGCTCAATTTTAGTCTCATCTGACCAGAGTACCTTCTTCCATATGTTTGGGGAGTCTTCCACATGCCTTTTGGTGAACACGAAACGTGTTTGCTTATTTCTTTCTTTAAGCAATGGCTTTTTTCTGGCCACTCTTCCGTAAAGCCGAGCTCTGTGGAGTGTACAGCTTAAAGAGGTCCTATGGACAGATACTCCAATCTCCGCTGTGGAGCTTTGCATTTCCTTCAGGGTTATCTTTGGTCTCTTTGTTGCCTCTCTGATTAATGCCCTCCTTGCCTGGTCCATGAGTTTTGGTGGGTGGCCCTCTCTTGGCAGGATTGTTGTGGTGCCATATTCGTTTCCATTTTTTAATAATGGATTTAATGGTGCTCCGTGGGATGTTCAAAGTTTCAGATATTTTTTTATAACCCAAACCTGATCTGTACTTCTCCACAACTTTGTCCCTGACCTGTTTGGAGAGCTCCTTGGTCTTCATGGTGCCCCTTGCTTAGTGGTGTTGCAGACTCTGGGGTCTTTCAGAACAGGTGTATATATACTGAGATCATGTGACAGATCATGTGACACTTAGATTGCACACAGGTGGACTTTATTTAACTAATTATGTGACTTCTGAAGGTAATTGGTTGCACCAGATCTTATTTAGGGGCTTCATACCAAGGGGGATGAATACTTTTGCAAGGCACTGTATTATGTCCAGATGGAGGTCATCAATAAAAACGATGGAAACAAGTCGAGTGAAACTGGAAACTGAAGCAACAGTAATGGAGAGTAAGCAATCTCCCTGAAAAATACACATTTGTCGATTTCGAAATTAGGAACAGAGACGTTATGTATGTTATGTGACAAGGGGTAAAACAAATCATTATCTTTATGTTTTTTTTGTGGACATGATCCAGCCAAAAACCCTCCTAAAATTAAAAGTCACTTTTCTAGCTCTCCACCAAAAGAGCAGAGCTCAAGCTTGAAACCATGTATAACTCAAGCTAAATAAACAACAGCTAGAGAAAGGGAGGAAACAGACAATCCCTATTGAGAAGACAGAAAATACAGCCTTCTCCTGGGGCGGTTCATGTCAAAATAATAATAATAAATATATATATATATATACATATACAGTACCAGTCAAAAGTTTGGACACACTTACTCATTCCAGGGTTTTCTTTATTTTATTATTTTCTATATTGTAGAATAATAGTGAAGACATCAAAACTATGAAATAACACATATGTAATCATGTAGTAACCAAAAAAGTGTTAAACAAATCAAAATATATTTTAGATGAGATTCTTCAAAGTAGCCATCCTTTGCCTTGATGACAGCTTTGCACACTCATGGCATTCTCTCAACCAGCTTCATGAGGTAGTCACCTGGAATGCATTTCAATTAACAAGTGTGCCTTCTTAATGTGTTTGAGCCAATCAGTTGTGTTGTGACAAGGTGTGTGGGGGGGGGGGTCCATATTATGGCAAATATTATGGCAAAAACACCTCAAATAAGCCATATTATGGCAAAAACACCTCAAATAAGCAAAGAGAAATGACAGTCCATCATTACCTTAAGACATGAAGGTCAGTCAATCCGGAAAATTTCAAGAACTTTGAAAGTTTCTTCAAGTGCAGTCACAAAAGCCATCAAGCTCTATGATGAAACTGGCTCTCATGATGACCGCCACAGGAAAGGAAAACCCAGAGTTACCTCTTCTGCAGAGGATACGTTCAATAGAGTTAACTGCACCTCAGATTGCAGCCAAAATAAATGCTTCACAGAGTTCAAATAACAGACACATCTCAACATCAACTGTTCAGAGGAGTCTGCGTGAATCAGGCCTTCATGGTCGAATTGCTGCAAAGAAACCACTCCTAACGGACACCAGTAAGAAGAAGAGACTTGCTTGGGCCAAGAAACACAAGCAATGGACATTAGACCGGTGGAAATCTGTCCTTTGGTCTGATGAGTCCAAATTTGAGATTTTTGGTTCCAACCGCCGTGTCTTTGTGAGACGCAGAGTAGGTGAACAGATGATCTCCGCATGTGTGGTTCCCACCATGAAGCATGGAGGAGGAGGTGTGATGGTGTGGGGGTGCTTTGCTAGTGACACGGTTTGTGATTTATTTAGAATTCAAGGCACACTTAACCAGCATGGTTACCACAGCATTCTGCAGCGATACGCCATCCCATCTTGTTTGCGCTTAGTGGGACTATCATTTGTTTTTCAACAGGACAATGACCCAACACACCTCCAGGCTGTGTAAGGGCAATTTGACCAAGAAGAAGAGTGCTGCATCAGATGACCTGGCCTCCACAATCCCCCGACCTCAACCCAATTGAGATGGTTTGTGATGAGTTGGACTGCAGAGTGAAGGAAAAGCAGCCAACAAGTGCTCAGCATATGTGGGGACTCCTTCAAGACTGTTGGAAAAGCATTCTAGGTGAAGCTGGTTGAGAGAATGCCAAGAGTTTGCAAAGCTGTCATCAAGACAAAGGGTGGCTACTTTGAAGAATCAAAAATATAAAATATTTTTTGATTTGTTTTTTTAAATTTTATTTATTTTTTATTTAACCTTTATTTAACCAGGTAAGCCAGTTGAGAACAAGTTTTCATTTACAACTGCGACCTGGCCAAGATAAATAAGTTTAATACTTTTTTGGTTACTACATGATTCCATATGTGTTATTTCATAGTTTTGATGTCTTCACTATTATTCTACAATGTAGAAAATAGTGAAAATAAAGAAAATCCCTTGAATGAGTAGGTGTGTCCAAACCTTTGGCTGGTACTGTATATATAGAATTTGTTTTTAAAAAATAACATACATTTTTAAACACTTATGGTGTGAAGCAAATTTTAGGGGGATGTTTAGAAATCACCCTAATAAGCTTGCACTCATGACATTGAGTAATGTACTCCTTAACATGTCATGAAATGGTAACTATTGCATGCTTCATATAAAGCTTGAGCGAAGCCAGGGCCACCATTACTACAATATGTCAAAATAGGAGCCGAGACAAACTTTGCAGTTGCCTGACCTTTCACTTCAGGGAGAGCAAGAAGGAGGAGGTTGGTTTACAGATTGACTTTAAAATGCATTTTTCTTGTCATTTGGTGAAAGTGAAGAAATTGAGGCATGACCATCATCTGCCCAACAACGAACAACACTATATCAGATTCAGGACTGTCCTTCCAGAAGACCAGGCCCATGTACTGTAGGCAAACGTTGTGGAACATTGCGATTCATAAGTCATGAACAGAGCTGACATGATTCCTTATATGTCAGAGAGGCATGTTCGTTCTACATCAGTGGTCTCAAATCCACAGGCCATAAATAGAACGTTCGCGGGCCTGATGTGGCCCATGGGCTGGGAGTATGAGACCACTGTTCAACAATGTTGTGCCCTGCTGAACGCAGCCTAGTACTACAGTATATCCAGTACTACTTTACATTCAGGTCAGTCCAGATAGCAGTGGCCCAGTCAGTCATTCAATTAGGCTTATCTTCCCAAGGTGTTATCAACCCAACCACCTCTGACCTAGACAGTAGGGGGCCAGGGTTGGGTACAATGAGACACTCCTGTCCCCCACCTTAGCCCTCCAGAACCTGGCCTACCAGGCCAACCCCAGGCCTTAGCTATTTTAGCTTATCTCTGGCTCTGCATATCATCAATACCTACACCTCTCAATGGAACTCAATGGAGCTCCCCAAAACAGGGCAGATGGTTGGTCCCATTTGTGTGCTAAAAGGAGATTTACTCTGAATTGTTCTTAGCGCTCCTTTGTATTATGGGCCTGTTCCATGAGAAAGAGCCTGAAAACAAGGAACATTTACATGTATTAATTAAGCCCCATAATGACCCGGCAAGTGATTATTGGCATGCATTCCCTGGGCTTTTGTAAACTTTGCAGAGCACAGTATGGCTTGGGATCTCCCCCCTTTGAAATGGGTAACAGATTGTGGGAAGAGGGGGCTGAAAGCAGTGCATACACACGCCCACACATTGTGTGATATGTGATTGGTTGGTTGGAGTAGGGTATAGAGGAGATCAATTCCTATAGTGACACTAACAAGAATAGAATATGCTATTAGTTCAAATTAATCCAAGCATTTGAATTGCATACCGTTTCACAAAGACAGACTCTGAAACAACAAAGTATATTAAAGTATTTATAATATAAAACAACCATAATAACAAAGTACAGAACATCAAGTACAGAATGAACTGTCATTGAACAGAATCTCTTTCATTGAAAAAGTTAAACAGGTTCACACCCACAAGGTGCACATATTATACACAAACAATGTAATGATAACTATATTTAACATCACATATGGCAAAATCAAAGACAACTACTGGGGACTGGAATGGTTGTAATCATCTAGGCTGACTGCTGTAAGCACTTATATGCTTGTTACCATGTGCAGCCCTCGATGCACAAACCTGTATCCCTACGCCAAGCCACAAAGTTTCATGGCGCATCCCATTAAATAGTTATTGGCAGCACGCAGGATTGGCAGCCAGATCAAACGAGCCAATGAACAAAAGCCCTATAAATATATCACATTCATTCATTCGCTTCAAAAACACCCTCCCCGCATTCCCCAACTCCCGTTGTCCCACTCCCTACACCGTAGTTCCTGGTGATGCTTTGGTCTTTTTCAAATACACCTCCGAGTTCCCATCTGGAACCAGATGTCTGAAACCACTTTGGAACGAGGCGAGGAGCCGTCCTGCAGACAAGCAAAGGCAAAGAAATAACAAAAATGCCAAAGTAAAGTTCCTCAGTGACTCAGAATTACAGTACATCTCAACTGGAACTTGATAGCTTGATATCAGGTTTAAAGGCCAAATGTTCAATAAAGAGAGCACTCAGAAATGTTTACCTAGCACTTAAAGTATTAAGGGGTATAATGTGAATGCTTTAGGCATGATTATTAATGACAACTAGGAGTTCCCGAAGATAAATAATTGTCCAATTCCACTCCAGATGACAACCACAGTTCGGTCAATGCCTCAAGGCTGACGGTCAGTGACACTAACCTGTCCAAGTCCTCTGGTCGCTCAGGCTGAAGCTAGTGCACTGAGGAAGGGAGTTACAGATGAAGGCCGCCTCCTTGGCGTTGTGCACCGACAGCACGCAGCCTTGGTGGTTGTACGAGGGCCAGCATCTGTATTCCATATTTCCAGAGGTGCTCATGCCTTTCATGACTGCATAATCTAATGGGGTGAGAAGAAACACCAGAGTCTTTCAGAGACATTGTGGGGCCTGGGCCAAACCCATCTGCTAAACATTAGCATGGGCCGCGAATTAGGAGCGCCTGCCCCCCCTCCAACCCAACATCAGAACAGAAGTCAACTCATTCACAGTGAGGGGAAGATGGCAGGGGTGTCAAGTTTCTCCATTGGTACTCCTCCACCTAAACCTACAAGGCAGGGGTTAAAAATGTTGGGGGGCATATTAATAGGGGAACAAGCGCTCCAGTTGGGGCATTAGTGCGGCAAACAGAGGGTCACTTTAAGGTTCTTTATATGAACACTCTGTAGAAGAAAATCATCTGGAAAAAGGGAAGACATTGGGGTTATCTGTTTTATTTTAAGTCTTGGACAGTGATCCTATGTCTATGGAGTTCCAGATACTCATGATGAAATGTTCACTAAAAATAGTACTCTAAGTCAACATACGCAGACCATTCATATGATCTATAGGCCCAGGAATCAGTTTTGCCTGTGACTGAAGACACGTACTGGAGAACTACAGTTCCTTTTTAGAACTCCTTTGCCAGAACCTAGCAGTTTACAGTGTTAATACATCACAACAATGTTGGTCTAAAACATTCCTTTATATTTCCAGACTCAGTCCACTCAATCCACTTCCCAGGCTTACTTTGATTACTATTTATAATGTAGCTGTATAAACCATTGAGCAGCTTGAGCATGGAAAATACAGCTGCAGGATCTGGGCCAGTCATTTTAGTTATTAATTTTCATAGAGTGAAGGGCTGGAGAGTTTGGAGGGGAGGGGTCTGGAGCACTGTAAAAGTCATTTAGACCAAAAAATCAAAGGTTCACGTCATACCTCTGATTATTGACGGAGGCATGTTGTCCAGGTGCAGGCCGGATTTGTACAGATGGAACATGTCTTCAAAGGCTTCCAGAGTGTCATTCACATCACCTTTCAGCTCTCCTGGAGAAACACAGCGGAACAGGTCAGCACAGAAAAGGTATGAGTGGAAACACCACTGGAATTGGTCATACGCTTGGTCAAATGTGAACAATTTGTTTTTCCTGGAAAGGCCAATGTGGTCGGTCAAAACACCTGGCTCTAGTTATGTTCATATGTGGGGTAAATGGTATTGTTCACATGGAAGTGTATGACAAACTCCAACTAGGGCCTAAAGTTTTTCTAGTCAGGCGCACATGGTTAGGGAAAAACTCTAGGCTCTAACATGACATATGAAAGGGCCATATTAGGTCTTTCCAAATGATTAATAGTAATGGCGGGTCATGTTCCATCTACTCCAGTCCTCACCCGTTGAGTTCATGATGTGATCCACCAGATGTCTCAGAGCAGGCGGGGCTTGGTGAGGCAGCAGGTAGGTGAAAAAATACCTGAGGCAGTGTAAAAGAAACATTTCTCATTTAGACAAGTCCCATCACATATTTCATGAAACGTTGACTCTTCATCACGGTATTAAAGCAAGTGTGCAGTAAACCTGGCAGAATCATGAGTGAATACATGTAGCCTACAAAATGGCACTGTCACGGAACAAAGCGAGGAATGATCTAGCTAAACCATCAAAGAGTGGGGCTATGATACATCTCACCCACCTTTCCAATGCTTGTTTTTTGTTTGTTTTAAGATTAAGATTAAGCAGGACAAATGTCACTTTCCATAGCTAGGTTTCAATCCAATTTGCGACAGATTTTCATGCAAATATTCTAAAATCTGCATAAAATAATATGCAAATTTTCCCACCAGAGATGTGTTTCTATCAAACGGACTTATTATGGATAAAAGTATGTGAGTGATGACGTAGTGCACATAAAAATAACTTTTGCAGTTAAATTCCTATGTACCGAATGAAAAAGTTAAATGGGTTTCCATTGCATTTTCAACACTACTGATGGTTCTGTCACAAAAACTGTTGTGTTATATAGCAAACATGCCCGCTCTGGTCTTGGCACGTGCACTCTAGCTAACAGCTCGCAGATACAGTGCAGGTAGGCTACCTACATTACAAGATTATTATGGATAACAGCAATATTATTTTTATTTGTCAAACAGCCGCCAAGCATTAATCATCATGTCACCAGAATAAGACCCTCAATATTTAAAGGAGCATCAAGCATCAAGCTAATCAAGTGCACTTTCATCTCCCTTATTTCATCTGTAGCCTAATGAACTGCATGGTTTCCTGAGTCGTAGTGGGAGGACCACACAACATGTCATCGCGTGACTCCAAGTTTACTTAGATATGATGGTTATTATATCAATATTTGTGCATAAAGACATTTCCACTGCCATTTCTCGCATAATTAATTTTACAGACAAAAAAGATCCCACCATGTCGAACGAACAAATTGTCTGTCGGCATTTATAAAATTGTACCAGCATGAAATGGTTGGATGGAAACCTGGTTATTGAAGATTCTCCGTTGAGCATGTTTTTTAGTCTAGCAGAAGCTTCGGTTTCATCTGGATCTGGGAAACTAGCCCAAGGAGTGCAGCAATGACATCTCACCCACCTTGCAAAACACTTGAAAATGTAGCCTAACAATGGGAGTGCAGCTGTATTACCTGTAGGCGTTGTAACGATTCCTCATCTCGTTGAGGCCCTCACACACTCCCTGGTCCGTGCAGGGCAGGCTGAAGTTGCGGAGGGGGAACTGTAAGACGCAGTCCTGGTCCACCTGACAGGCGGGCTCCGTCACGCTGGCGTCATCCAGGTCTGTGAGCTTCAGCTCCCCAGATACCATGACAAACTGACGGGGCTGGAAGTCCAACAGAGCCACAGAGCCCAGAGGGGAGTGGGAGAGGTAGTGGAGGAGCCTCACCAGGCCCAAACAAACCTGAGGGGAAAATGTACAGGTTGGATGTTGTTGACATTATGGTTGTCATTGTATACCTTTGACATGTACAGTATATGTCATATGTACTTGGTGATATATGAGGACGATGTCATCGTATGTGATAGTATTATTGTGGCTGTCTGCTCTTTCGCCTATGTCCTGTGGTATGTAAAAAATGTGTGCAAGAAAATACTAAAATGTTGTGTAACAACTTGCTAATACATTGTTGTTACACGTGTAATTACAAGGTTACTACACAGGTTTATGAGCAACGTCTTGTAAAGTGTTACCCACTCTAAAAAGGAAAGAAAAAGAAAACAGATCATATTGCACACAGACTCTTCTTGTGTCACACTGCTTTTTCAGGACATTTCTGCAGTTGCTGCTTCATATCACATCTAGGCTTACTACTTCATTCCTGTATAACATGAGCCATAGAAGAATGGTCAAGATGAAACAAAGCGGCGAAACAAGTATCGAGTTGGCACAGCCCACAAAGAAATGGAACGAGTAGCATTCGGCATGCGTTGACGCGGCAGAAAATGATTTGGTCACACCGCAAACATAGTTGGGACGTTGGGTAACCAGGCGAGTCTGTCGAACGTCTCTCAGTGCAGCCGCAGCACTATTAAAACAGAGGTAGGGGAAACCAAACCCCTTTTTGAATGACTGTACACCCTACAGCAGTGGAGCGTTTTGCTCCAAGGGATCAGGCATGTTGAAATAAGTGTTCCTTTAACACCTCACCCCTACTGTTGCTCATTGTTACTGATTCCTCACTTTCGTGGATGCTCGAAATGACTTGGCCTGAAGGACTCGTCACCATGTGTTATGACGCGTACATACTTGCAAACAACAACACTTCTGTACGTACACACATGCACACGCACATGCACACACTATCAGTGTCACACACACACTATCAGTGTCACACACACACTATCAGTGTCACACACACACATTGACGTACATTGGTACGCACTACGCACACTAGAAGATCGTAGAGGGCTTAAGGCGCGAGAAGAGGGGGCCGACATTCGAGATCCCCCTGAACGCAGACATCTGTCCTTCAGAGTATTTGATCAGGCCCAGTTGGAATGGAGATGGGGCCTGGGTTAATCCACTCCAGGCTAAGAATGTCATCCTCCAACAGCAGCTCCTTCTCCACCCCCATCCCCTATCATCCACCCCCATCCCCACCCCAGGTATGCCCCAGAGGGAGCCAGGGGGCGGGCCACTCCTGATTAACCCTCTCTCCAGGGATGTGGAGGAGGACAAGGGTGGTAGAAAGAGACGAGATTGTGTGTGTGTGTGAGTGAGAGAGAGAGCAGAGAGAGACAGAGGGCCTAGTGGTCTTCTTACCCGAAAGCGTTCCTCCCAGGGGCTCTGTAGGAGCTGGATCATCTGTAGTGGCAAGCCCTGCTCCAGGATGGCTGTGATGCCTCCTGCCCCCACACTGTCCTCGCAGTGACCTCGGAGCTGCAGAAGGGAAATAGGTTATACTGCATTATTAGTGTCACAGTAAACCTAACACCGGGAATGTAAGCTAGTAAAGAATTGGGAGAAAATGATGAGAGCGCAGCATAACTGTATCAAACCAGTTGTTCTCAGGACAAACCAGTAAAATGTGGTGTTCTACTCTGGCCTATTACAGAGATTACGTTAAAGTGTGTTCATGAAGGTATTCATTAAACTGTTACACAGTAGCCTGTAAACAGGTTAGGATTGTTTACATTCAAGTTGCACATTTGACCATAATGGATTGATTAAATAGACTTTGGGGATTTTTTATACATATTCCAGGTTAACAGACAGAGAGGGACATTGTATCTCCTCCAGCTGCTGATGCAGAACTGCGACCCAAGGTCAGGGGAGGTTCAAGAGGTTTAATTGAATTACATGGGAATGTCCTACAGATGCAATGAGGCTTTTTAAGGATATTACACAAGCAGCAGAGCAGACAGGCCTGAGAAGCAGTTAGCTCCTTAAATAGACAGCAAAGTAGCATCAATGTGGTTGAAGTTTGTAGGTTTCTAGAACGGTAGGCCATGTTGTTTGTAACGTGTATGTTCTGTGTTTGTGATGTATGTAAGCCTCTGACACCTTGATTAGCCTATACCCCCTGGAGATCAATAAAGTTATATTCTATTTTTTTACCTTAGACTAATTATTTATTGAATAAATAATACTTTATTCACGTACCTTTATGATATTTGGATGTTGCAGTCTTTGCAATAAAACTATTTCTTTTTTCAGTTTAAAAGACACGAGCTCGTGACAGCCCAAGGGGTCTTTAAAATCCTCGAGACATCTCGCCATGTCAGTTCCTTGATCGTACACGGTTTTCAATGCCACAGACTGTCCCTCCGATAGCACAACTTCAAGCACTATTTTGGTATAGCCCGAGCCAAGGATATCCACAGCTTTCATATCAACAAGCTGATCACAGCCAATATGATCCTTATTTATTCTAATAGATCCACTGGAAACTTCACTCTCATTATCCAAACTAATATCCAAATGGTTACTTTCAAATGATTGGTGCTGCCCAAAGTGTCCCGATTCATCCAATAACCTCTTTACCCCAGAAGAGATGAGGAAAGAAAGGATTTCCTTGCGTCTTTCGTTGAGTTCATGAACTAATCCGTTACGCTCCATAACAAAATCATCCTCAATAGTTCCATTGGCAAACATTCCTTTATGAACTCTGTGCCAACTGTTCACAAAAAGTCTTAAAGAAAAGACCAGAAAAGCTAAAAGTACCGCGGTGCACAGAGGGCTGCCCATCGTGGACATTTCGTGCGCGGGTAAAATGAACACGCACTTAATTCAATCGGACGAGAGACCTCTTCTGTACTAATGACTATGGAGAAAGGTTGAGCTCGTTGTTTTCACCTCTTGAGGCACGCCCACCAGAGGCGTGTCTTCCCTTAAAAGTAAAATCCCGCCCCTGATTTAGCTGGTGATGAGTAATGTGTGTGTCAATGATTTTGAATTTTAGGACCCCTTTAACATATGGAATTATTTTAAGATGGTCATAACTTGAATCATTTAGCTATTTGATATTGCATTTTGGACCCCTTTAGGTATACAGTGCATTCGGAAAAGTATTCAGACCCCTTTCCTTTTTCCACATTTTGTTACATTACAGCCTTATTCTAAAATAGATAAAATCATTTTTTTTCACTCATCAATCTACCAACAATACCCCATAATAACAAAGCGAAAACAGGTTTTTAATTTTTTTGGCAAATCTATTACGAATAAAAAACACACATACCTTATTTACATAAGTATTCAGACCTTTTGCTATGAGACTCGAAATTGAGCTCAGGTGCATACATTGATCATCCTTGAGATGTTTCTATAACTTGATTGGAGTCCACCTGTGGTAAATTAAATTGATTGGACATGATTTGGAAAGGCACACACCTGTCTATATAAGGTCCCATACCTGACAGTGCACGTCAGAGCAAAAACCAAGCCAAGAGGTCGAAGGAATTGTCCGTAGAGCTCCGAGACAGGATTGTGTCAAGGCACAGATCTGGGGAAGGGTACCAAAACATTTCTGCAGCATTGAAGGTCCCCAAGAACACAGTCGCCTCAATCAATCTTAAATGGAAGAAGTTTGGAACCACCAAGACTCTTCCTAGAGCTGGCCGGCTGGCCGGTCAAACTGAGCAATCAGGGGAGATGGGCCTTGGTCAGGGAGGTGAAAAACGGAAATATCACATTTACATAAGTATTCAGGCCCTTTACTCAGTAATTTGTTGAAGCACCTTTGGCGGCGATTACAGCCTCAAGTCTTCTTGGGTATGAACCATTTTAGAATAAGGCTGTAACGTAATAAAATGTGGAAAAAGTCAAGGGGACTGAATACTTTCCGAATCCACTGTATATACACTGCTCAAAAAATAAAGGGAAAACTAAAATAACACATCCTAGATCTGAATGAATGAAATAATCTTATTAAATACTTTTTTCTTTACATAGTTGAATGTGCTGACAACAAAATCACACAAAAATTATCAATGGAAATCAAATGTATCAACCCATGGAGGTCTGGATTTGGAGTCACACTCAAAATTAAAGTGGAAAACCACACTACAGGCTGATCCAACTTTGATGTAATGTCCTTAAAACAAGTCAAAATGAGGCTCAGTAGTGTCTGTGGCCTCCACATGCCTGTATGACCTCCCTAAAACGCCTGGGCATGCTCCTGATGAGGTGGCGGTTGGTCTCCTGAGGGATGTCCTCCCAGACCTGGACTAAAGCATCCGCCAACTCCTGGACAGTCTGTGGTGCAACGTGGCGTTGGTGGATGGAGCGAGACATGATGTCCCAGATGTGCTCAATTGGATTCAGGTCTGGGGAACGGGCGGGCCAGTCCATAGCATCAATGCCTTCCTCTTGCAGGAACTGCTGACACACTCCAGCCACATGAGGTCTAGCATTGTCTTGCATTAGGAGGAACCCAGGGCCAACCGCACCAGCATATGGTCTCACAAGGGGTCTGAGGATCTCATCTCGGTACCTAATGGCAGTCAGGCTACCTCTGGCGAGCACATGGAGGGCTGTGCGGCCCCCCAAAGAAATGCCACCCCACACCATGACTGACCCACCGCCAAACCGGTCATGCTGGAGGATGTTGCAGGCAGCAGAACGTTCTCCACAGCGTCTCCAGACTCTGTCACGTCTGTCACATGTGCTCAGTGTGAACCTGCTTTCATCTGTGAAGAGCACAGTGCACCAGTGGCGAATTTGCCAATCTTGGTGTTCTCTGGCAAATGCCAAACGTCCTGCACGGTGTTGGGCTGTAAGCACAACCCCCACCTGTGGACGTCGGGCCCTCATACCACCCTCATGGAGTCTGTTTCTGACCGTTTGAGCAGACACATGCACATTTGTGGCCTGCTGGAGGTCATTTTGCAGGGCTCTGGCAGTGCTCCTCCTGCTCCTCCTTGCACAAAGGCGGAGGTAGCAGTCCTGCTTCTAGCAGTCCTACAGCCTCCACGTCTCCTGATGTACTGGCCTGTCTCCTTGTAGCGCCTCCATGCTCTGGACACTACGCTGACAGACACAGCAAACCTTCTTGCCACAGCTTGCATTGATGTGCCATCCTGGATGAGCTGCACTACCTGAGCCACTTGTGTGGGTTGTAGACTCCGTCTCATGCTACCACTAGAGTGAAAGCACCGCCAGCATTCAAAAGTGACCAAAACATCAGCCAGGAAGCATAGGAACTGAGAAGTGGTCTGTGGTCACAACCTGCAGAACCACTCCTTTATTGGGGGTGTCTTGCTAATTGCCTATAATTTCCACCTGTTGTCTATTCCATTTGCACAACAGCATGTGAAATGTATTGTCAATCAGTGTTGCTTCCTAAGTGGACAGTTTGATTTCACAGAAGTGTGATTGACTTGGAGTTACATTGTGTTGTTTAAGTGTTCCCTTTATTTTTTTGAGCAGTGTATATATACCTTTTAAATATTGAATTTGGCCTTTACTACTATAGCCCATAGAAACACATTGAATAACATATTCATAAATGGCAAAAAAGACAAAAAATTGATCATAAGGAATAAGGTTGTGAAGTGTCTTTCCTATATCTAGGATATATAACAAAGCTCAGGAAGTATTTGAGTTTTTTAAGACACATATTTAACCCCATATTTGTGCTAGCACAAAACTAGCTCCAAATTCTTCCATTCGATTGTATGGGTTGCCTTCAGACGAGTCCCGTGACACTTGTGGAGGTCGTACACCATTGGGTTTGTGAGAGTCTCCCCTTTCCATAGTAGGGTCATATTAGTTTGTAAGCCAAACCATTCGGTACAGACGTTTTCATACGAAGACCGATTCTCGGGATATCTCATGGTGTGACAAACACTGCTGTAGCTCGGCCACCTTCCACCGCAGATGCGGAAGGCTGACATACTGTAGGCGGATGCTGTGGATTGAGAGGCAGCCCATGCAAAAAAAATGATATCTCTAGCTTAAACTGACTGATTTTGACTGGGATTTTTTTTTAATGCTACTTAGATTGACGCACAGGTGCGTTTTTTATTAAATGCATATAAAGCCTAATTCAAGAATAACAGGAGAGAAAAATGTCACAGGATATTCAAGACCACATTCTTTACTGCTATATATTTACACATTTCTTGTCACTAGTCTCCGCCCCAAAAGGACTGAGCATGCCTACTTGAAGGTAACGGCGCTTACTGTTGCCCGTAGTGGCCGGGTTCCATGTCATCTCCCGACGTCTTCAAACATGGAGGATGTCGAATATTGACTTGTATCACGGGTGACCTGGTTGGCTATTCCACACATTTTACTATGAGGATGAGAGAATCTTACATGTTTAAAGCTAATTTACTGCTATTCTACACATTTTGCCATGAAGCTGAGAGAACATTTTGCAGTTTTATAGCTAATTTCCTGTGTGTCTCTCCGCCTTGCGGGGGCTAAGGGTGTGTGTGGTACACCAGTGCCTAGACTGACCTTCATGTCTTAAAGTAATGATGGACTGTCGTTTCTCTTTGCTTATTTGAGCTGTTCTTGCCATAATATGGACTTGGTATTTTACCAAATAGGGTACCTTGTCACAACACAACTGATTGGCTCAAATGCATTAAGAAGTAAAGAAATTCCACTAATTAACTTTTAACAAGGCACACCTGTTAACTGAAATGCATTCCAGGTGACTACCTCATGAAGCTGGTTGAGAGAATGCCAAGAGTGTGCAAAGTTGTCATCAAGGCAAAGGGTGGCTACTTTGAAGAATCTCAAATATAAAATAGATTTTGATTTGTTCAACAGTTTTTTGGTTACTACATGATTCCATATGTGTTATTTCATAGTGTTGATGTCTTCACTATTATTCTACAATGTAGAAAATAGTACAAATAAAGAAAAACCCCTGAATGAGTGGGTGTGTCCAAACTTTTGTCAGGCACTGCATATCTTATACAGTAGTGATTGACTTAGCATGTTATTAAAATCATTCATTCTGAAAAGGGATAAGGAGAGTATTTAGTCTGAGGACACCTTTGGCCCACACCAGTGTCACACACTTTACATTGAAAAGAACAGTTAGAAAATTATCAAACTAACAGTCAAATGAGATTTCTTAATTACTATAAAATAAAAAGAGTGAATCATTCTTTGAGATAATGAAGGTAAACATCTTCATACAGATGGATGAAGTAACCATAGCGGCACACTTTTCTAACTTTGTCTGTTTTAGGAGGCCTTTTTGACGGTCATCAGACTAGCACCCCACAGTATTCATCAGCAAAATGGCATCATCTTCTGTTGCAGAGGAAAACAGCTAGCCAATTGCCGGTGCTGGGGAAATAAACTGGAGCTCTACTTAAATGAAAGCACAGCAGTTCTGTTTGGAAGCAGTAACTATAGGTCTAATGGTATTAAACATGTAACATAGCTGAATTATTAACCATTACTCTCTATCCTAGACTGAAGGTCAGACGAGATGATTCATTGTGAAATGTTCACAGTTCACACTTTCCTTACTGAAATATATAATATACTCAGGTAATGTTGTTCATTTGGGAACAATCATCAAAATTCTGAGAGCATGCCTTTTTGTACTCCTTACCCCTTTATCTTCCTATCTCTTGTTCATAAGCAACATCTTGCCTTTGGGAACCACTTGTATCGTTCTCCCCTATTAGGGAAATCTTTCCTCTCAGTCTTGAGCTGTAAATAAATGAATATAAATTGCTCGCATCACTACCCACTCGGAAGAGATCTGCCACGGGAAATTACCATGGGTGTCGGTTCAGGTCCACCCCTTATCTGGAGCAGACAAAGCTATAGGCGGGCTGGGGATATAGCGACTTTAGTGAGCTGGGGGCA